CTTGAGATTCCGGAGTGGAAATGGTAGCGTATCACCATGGATTTTGTAGTTGGGCTCCCACGGACTCCTAGGAATTTTGATGCTATTTGGGTGATTGTGGATCGGTTGACCAAGTCCACGCACTTCATTTCAGTTGGGACAATTTATTCTTTGGAGCGGTTGACTGAGATTTACATCTACGAGATTGTTTGCATTCACGGTATGCCGGTGCCCATAATTTCAGACTGGGGCATGCAGTTTACATCGCAGTGTTGGAGAGTCGTGCAATGATAGTTGGGCACACAGGTTGAGTTGAGTACAACATTTCACCCTCCGACGGACGGGAAATCCAAGCACACTATTTAGATATTGGAGGATATACTACGCGCTTGTGTCATAGATTTCGGGGATTCTCGGGATCAGTTTCTTCCGCTCACAGACTTTTTCTACAATAACAACTACCAATTGAGCATTCAGATGGCTCTGTATGAGGCATTATATGGGAGACACTGTCGGTCTCAGGTGGGATGGTTTGAGTCGGGTGAGGCTAGGCTATTGGGTACTGACTTGGTTCAGGATGCTTTGGACAAGGTTAAATTGATTATGGATCGGCTTAGCACGGTGCAGTCTAGACATAAGAGTTACGCCAATTGAAAGGTTCGTGATGTTGCTTACATGGTTGGGGAGAAGGTATTGCTCAATGTTTCACCCATGAAGGGTCTTATGAGGTTCGGGAAGAAGGGCAAGTTGAGCCCTCGATATATTGGGCCGTTCGAGGTTCTTCAAAGGATTGGAGAGATGGCTTACAAGCTTGCCTTGACACCTAGTATGTCGAGTGTTCATCTAGTGTTTCACGTATCTATGCTCCGGAAGTATCTCGGCGATCCGTCTCATGTTTTGGATTTCATCACGGTTCAGTTGGATGGTGATTTGACTTATGATATAGAGCCGATGGCCATTTTGGGTCGGCAAGTTCGAAAGTTGAGGCCACAGGATATAGCTTCAGTGAAGGTGCAGTGGAGAGGTCAGCTAGTTGAGGAGGCTACTTGGGAGACTGAGCCGGAGATGCAGAGTAGATATACATGCCTATTCCAAACTCGAGGTATGTTTCCAGACCCGTTCGAGGATGAACGTTCGTTTAAGAGGGGGAAGATGTAATGACCCGGCCAGTCGTTTTGAGTGTTGTAGCCCCGTTCCCCAGTTTACTGCTTATTTGATGCTTAATAGTTTCTATGTGACTTGCCGGGGTAGTTGGTTCGGTTTCGGGAAGGTTTCGTAATGAGTTAAGACACTTAGTCTCAAGGTTGGAAGCTTAAGTTGAAAAGGTTGACCGGATGTTGACTTGTGTGTAAATTGCTTCGAAATGGAGTTTTGAGAGTTCCGATAGCTCCGTTGGGTGATTTTGGACTTAGGAGTGTGTCCGGATAGTGATTTGGAGGTCTGTAGTTTAATTAGGCTTGAAATGGTGAAAATTGACAATTTAGAAGTTTGACCGAGAGTTGACTTTGTGGTTACAGGCTCAGATTGTGGTTCCAGGAGTTGGAGTAGGCCCGTTGTGTCATTTGTGACTTGTGTGCAAAATTTGAGGTCAATCGGACGTGATTTGATAGGTTTCGACATCGAATGTAGAAGTTAGAAGTTCAAAAGTTCATTAGGCTTGAATCGATGCGCAATTCGTGGTTTTAGCGTTGTTTGATGTGATTTGAAGGCTCGACTAAGTTTGTAACATGTTTTAGGACTTGTTGGTATATTTGTTTGAGGTCCCGGGAGCCTCGGGTGGTGTTCGGATGGTTAACGGATCAAGTTTGGAATTTGAAAGACTGCTGAAGCTCACTAGGTCTGGTGCAATCGCACATGCGTAGTTTTGATCGCAGGTGCGAGCAAGGGAACGCATATGCGGCCTGCAGAGGAGTGTGCAATGGTCGCAGGTGCGAGGGTATTTCTGCACCTGTGTGGTCGCAGATGCAGAGAAGGGGCGCAGAAGTGGGTTCAGTGAGGAAGCTATAGAGCGCAAATGCGGAGGGTGTTCCGCAAATGCGGACTCGCACCTGCGCGTGTAGGATCGCAGAAGATAAGGCAGAGATCTCAAGTTTCATCGCCGAAGTGGAGAAATATTCGCACCTCCGGGACCCCAGATGTGTTTAAGTGGGTCACATGTGCGAAATCTTTGCAGTGTAATATCCAAAGGGTTTTGCGATTTTCCTCAGTTTGGACTTTGCAAACTCGGATTAGGGCGATTTTTTAGAGGGATTTCAATACCTGTGATGACGGCTTCAAATGACATAGCCTCAGGTCTACCTGGGAATGCATAAAAGCGAGGTTGGGCCCCACCACTCTAACCTCCGCCTCTCGATTAGCCTCTAGTTGGTTGGCCTCGACCTCTAATGGTCTAAATCTCTACCTCTAAATGCCTGACCTCCACCTCTAGCAGCTCTAAATGCCTGACCTCCACCTCTAGCAGCCTGGCCCCCACCTCTAGCTGGCTGAGCGGGCAGTGAAGCAAACGGTGCTAGAACCATGGCACGAGAAATATGATGTGGCATGTTGCCCTCTGACTTGGGGCAAAATCTTGAAAGGTGCCTCAGAGCTCCAGCAATATAACAAGCCCTCGGCTTCTGCAACTTCTGACCTTGGAACTGGTCCTGTCGACCTGGATAACCACTCTGATAACTCTGGATTCGAGGTGCACTAATAGGAGCTGATGGTCCACTGTAGGTTAGGGGTGTTCGTCGGTCTGTACGGTACGTTATTTAGACATTTCGGTTCGGTATTTTCGATATTCGGTTTCTTAAAATTCCATACCAATACCGTACCTAAATAAATTCGGTATGTTCGGTTTTTCTCCTTTCGTTTTCAATTATTCGGTTCGGTAACTTCGGTTTATTCGGTTTGAATACTAACTAGTGCATAGAGCCATACACTCTAATATTCTTAATTAAAGTACTCAAAAATACAAAATTGAAAATGTTTGATGACAAAACTTTTGTCCAAAACTAGCAAATATCGACCCAAATAGAGAAAATTGTAGATAAAAGAATATTTGATCATTAGAAATGTCTTGTTACTTATTTAGAGTTAATTGATGAACTTTGAGAATAAAGGAAAGTAAAATTTTAGATTTTTTATATTTATGTTATAATTGATAATATGTATTTTGTGTAAGATAATATAAATTTCGGTATGGTATCGGTATTTCGGTATTTTATTTTAAAATACCAAACACTATATCTAATACCAATTTATTAAAAAACTTAAATCAAATACCATACCAAATACCAAATACCATATACCAAATACCAAAATTTTCGGTTTCGGTACGGTAATTCGGTATTTACCAAATTATGCCTAGCCCTACTATAGGTTAGTTGCTCAAGATGAGATACATAAGGACCACGACTACCTAAAGTACCGTGGGATGCCTGAAGCGCTGACTGAAATGTCCTGAGAAGATGGCCTCTACCAAAAGTACTCCTGCATCTAAATGAGGCACCACTGAAACCTCCAAAATGATGAGGCCTCTTATCAGATACCGCCCCCCTCTCCTGACCATGAACCATCTCGATCCGTCTAGCAATCTCTACGGCTCTCTGGAAAGTAATATCATCTCTAGTCCCCTTGGTCGTATGTAGCCTAATACTGAAAGTAAGTCCATCAATGAATCTCCTCACTCTCTCCCACTCAGTAGGGAGTAAAATAACTGCATGGCGAGCTAGGTCCACAAATCGGGTCTCATACTGGGTAGCAATCATGCTACCCTACTGAAGGCGCTCAAACTGCCTACGATACTCCTCTCTCAGAGTGAAAGGAATAAAATTCTCTAGAAATAGCTACGAAAACTGATCCCGGATAAGTGAGTGTGAACCAGCTGGTCTGGTCATCATATAATCTCTCCTCCATCTCTTGGCAGAATCGGTCATCTGGAACGCTGCAAAGTCAACCCCATTGGTCACAACGATACCGATGTTATGCAACACCTTGTGGCAATGATCCATGTAATCATGTGGGTCCTCAAAAGGTGCACCACTAACTGAATAGGGAAGATCTTTGTAAACTTTTCCAATCTCATCAATCCCTCAGTAGACATCACAGGCCTCTTCCCGGTCTATGCAGCAACAACTGGCTGAACCACCTCAACTAGCTGGACTGTTGGAGTCTGATATATGGGAGCCATCTACTCCAAAGTGTGAGTAGCGGGAGTCTGTTCTCCTCCCCCAGCCTGAGAGACAGCTGGTGCCACCGTAATGCACAGATCTGGGCCACACTTTTCATAAGGCCCACTAAACGGATTAGAGTATCCTAAAGCACGGGAGTAGATATAAATCCCTCCAGAACCTGAGTGGGTCCGACTGGCAGTCTGAGCTGGGATCTCCTCCTCATGATTAATCTGAGGCTCCATTGTGGGAGTTGATGCTCGAGCTCTAGGCTGAGTTTTACCTCTGGCTCGACCTCGGCCTCTACCCCTGGTAGTGGTTACAACTGGGGGTTCCGGCTCCTATCCGATTGAGGATGTTGTGCGTGTGCTCACCATCTGCGAGAGAACAAGAATGGAATGATTCAAACATCAATGATAGATGTAGATGCGCAGGCTATGGTCAAGACATCCGCTACTTACACTCTAACAATGTTATGTCATTTTGTCTATTTGACTACATCCACTACTTACACTTTAACAATGTTAAGTCATTTTGTCTATTTGACTACGTACGGACGCCAATTTTGATTTATTTGAGTGGAGGACACCCACTATTGTATAGTGTGAGCCACATGCTCTTATATGATTATAGTTTTTTTAGTCATCTAGTTCTACTTGTCTTGCATAATACTTAAATATTCTAAAATGCAAATTAATAAATTTTGTTTATTTAGTGCTATTATTGTGTAATGTAGGGGAGCAGTTCTGTCACGACCCTTTATCCCAATCTCGGGATCGTGATGGTGCCTAACATCTACTTTCTAGGCAAGCCGGCATGAAATAGGTAATTAATCAATTTTAGCAGTTGAAGAAAAAGTATTAACAATAGTAACGGTAAAAGTCTGAAGTAGAGTAATATAACATCGGACAACAAAATCTAAACATATCCCAGAACCCGGAGTCACGAATAAATGAGCATCTAAAGTGCTACAAATAAGGTCTGAACAACGTACAACAGTTTTGAAACTCAATAAAATAGTAAAGATAGAAGGGAAAAGGACTTCAAGGCTACGGACATCGTGCAGCTATACCTCAAATCTCCAACTACAACTGGCCCGAGAAGGAAGCTACTAGGCGCCGCTAGGATCAGCACCAATATCTGCACAAGAAGTGCAGAAGTATAGTATGAGTACAACTGACTCAATGTACTCTGTAAGTGTCAAGCCTAACCTCGACGAGGTAGTGACGAGGCTACAACAATACACATACATAAAATAAACATGTACAAGTGTATATAAAGCAACAAAATCACAATAAAATGATAAATACTAATTGGGAGGGACATGTGAAAAAGGGGAAGATGTAATAGATATGACAAGTATAAAGACACCAAATAATCAAGTAAATTGCCAAAACCGAAAATCAGCCAAGTCAATGATATGAAAATGGCACGGCATCACCGTTAGTGCTTTTACTCTCGTCCTCACCATGCAATGATATGAATAAAATGGCACGGCATCACCGTTCGTGATTTTACCCTTATCCTCACCATGTAATAATATGAATGAAATGGCACGGCATTATCCTTCGTGCTTTTACTCTCATCCTCACCATGTAATAATATGAATAAAATAGCATGGCATCACCCTTGGTGCTTTTACTCTCATCCTAACCATGCAATAATATAAATCTGAATAATAAATAATGCGGGGAATGATTTAATTTCAAATATAGTGCCAAGATATCAAACTTCAACTTTCAAAATAATTAACATCTTTAAAATATGCAATAAATACGAAACGAATAATTAAGGAAGTAATTATCTAACCTAAGCATGGATAACATAATTAATGAAATAATAAAATACAAAAAATAAGTTCCACCCGCATGCTTTAACCTAATGACAATGCATAAGTACTCATCACCTCACATATACGTTGTCCCCACACATAAAACACGTAGCAAATTGACCAACAAATCCTAATCCCTCAAGTTAAGGTTAACACGACACTTACCTCACTTCCGCAGTCAAATTAATGCTCAACCGTGTCTTTTCCTCTAGAATTAGCCTCCAAACCAATTATTCTAACCAAATATACTTCAAATAATTCAAAATAAGCTTTAGAAACTATCCACGTGTGAAAAAGATTCAATCTTTAATATTTATGGAAAAAGACAACAAAAGTCAACCCCGGGCCCGCTTGGTCAAAACTCGAGATTCGGACAAAAACATGATTACCCAGTCACCCCTGAACCAGGTTATGTGATTAGTTTCGAAATCCGACCTCAATTTGAGGTATAAATCTCAATTTCTCAAAATCCTCAATTTTTACCTAAATTCCTAATTTTTACCATGAAAAAGCATAGCTTAAAAGTTAAAATCAAGGGGTGTGTTATGGAAATGTAAGGAAACAAGTTAAAAACTACTAAACTATGAAGTTGGGATGAAAAACCTCTTCAAATCGCCCCTAAGCCGAGCTCAAATATGAAATGATGAAAAATGACTTAATTCCCAACTTTGATCATTGGCGTTAGGTGTTCTTCGTGTTCGTGAAGGACCTGACGCGATCGCGAAGAATAGCGGCCTAAGTGGCCTTCGCGTTCGCGAGAAACCCTCCGCGCTTGCGATGGCCTGTCCCCCTGGCCTTCACGTTCCTGAGCCTAGGCCCGTGTTCGTATCGAGTAACTGACCAGCTCCCCCAGGTCCCTCCCTAACACTACGCGTTCCCGAAAAGGAGGGTCGCGTTCGCGAACATTACTTCGCGTTCGCGAAGAATAAATTCCTCCTCAGCCCAGATTCCCTTCGCGATCACGAAGCACGTTGCACCAAACACCAGAAAACTAGCTGAAGCTGCAATCTCTAAGTCCAAAAATGACTCGTAGCCTATCTGAATTTCACCCGAGCCCCTCGGGCTCAAAACCAAATATGTACACAAGTGTGATAATATCATACAAACTCGCACGTATGTTCAAAACATCAAAATAACACCTAAAACTACGAATCGGACATCAAAATGCATAAAACTTTCAAAAAAACTCAAGAACTTCCAAATTCACAACCTAGCATCCGAATCTTTTCAAATCATCTCTGTTTTGCACCAAATTTTGCAGACAAGTTTAAAATAGTAAAATAAACCTATATCAAGTTCCGGAACCAAAATCCGTACCCGATAGCAATAAAGTCAATATGCAGTCAAACTTTCGAATTCTTAAAACCTTCAAATTACTAGTTTACAACAAATTAAATCACGTTAAATCAAGTTAGGGACTTCCGAATTTAATTTCGGGATCACACCCAAGTCCAAAATCACAATACTGACCCACCGAGATGGTCAAAATATCGATCCGGGGTCGTTTACACAAAATTTTGACTGTAGTCAACTCAAATTATTTTTAAAGATTAATTCATGTTTTCTTTAATTATTCACATAAAAATTCCGAAAAATAACACGGACTGCACACGTAAATCGATAAATACTAAATGGAGCTAATCAAGATCTCGGAACACTGAAATAAGTGCTAAAACTAAGAATGACCTATCAGGTCATCACAGAATCCAAAACTGATATTATAGTTCCTCCATTCCAAAAGAAATACTGTAATAGTTAAAGAAGTTTACATAATTATAAATTATACAATATAAAATGTGTTATAAATAGCAACATTAGATGGTTAAATATAGTTAAAGATGTAAAAATTATAATAAAATGAATACTGTTTGTTGACTGGGTCAATGCTGAACCCATTTACCCGACGTGGTGACCTAACCACAAGTGCTCAACGCGTTAATCCTTTGCCTTCTCTGAGCTTTGCTCTAAAGTATCATTGAGTTTCACTGCAAAGCAATAAAACTCAGCAAATCTGCTTTCTTCTTTCTACTTGTTCGCTTTTTCCTATTATCACCTCTTTTTTTCTTCTAAACAACTCTTGATTCATGCATCTCAACATGTAAAACCCAACATTTAAAAATGACGGTATAAACATATCCAGAGTCGGGTCTTATTGGTCGACGCGGCCGTAGGGATTGTGCTAATTAAACTCGTCACAATCTCGATTTTGACCTAAAGTTTCCTTTCCTTTTTAGTCCTCCCTATTCCATGCTTGAACCCTTTCTTAGGAAATGCAATAATCTTTTAAGTCACAATTATAACCAAGTAAAAGCTATAATGAGGAGAGAGGAAAAAAAAAAAAAAAACAAGACCAATTAAAAGCTATCACGCAATTGCATACAATGTTAAAGTTCAAGTTCCACTTTAAGAAAAAAACCTACAGAAGGAACTGCCAGAATATTAATATATAAAGCTAATCCAAAATCATTTAAGAAATGACTTTAAAATAAATAAAGTTGAATTTAATTATTTTTCTACTGTGAAATCTTAAATCAGATGCATATTTTACTGGATTTAGGATTTACTATAAGAAATCATTGTACCTGTGGCGACTAGTGTCGCCCTGGAAACTCAAATTTCGCCACAGTTTTCCGTGGTGACCAAAGTAGTTGCATAAACAATCGTCACGGAAAACGTTTGTGTCCGAACAAGTCGCCACTGAAAAGTTGCTAAAGTTGCCACAAAACATTCCCAAAGAGTCACCACTCACCACAGAAAGCAAGCTAAACATATTTTTTTGGGTTTAAATTTCTAGCTTTGCTTCGTTTTGGTGTTTTTGAGTAATTGGAAGAAATCTGAATAATTTAAAGTGAATTCTTGTTGTTACTGTTTTGACATCTGTAGTAATTTATCTCCACAAACACATTAGAATCTCGCCTTGTGTGACGGGGAGAAGCCTCATCCGAGTTGGGATTGCGAGAGAATGCCCTCTCTCTAGAAAATAGCACTTATTTCACTCTCCCTATTTATAGTAGGGATTTTTTCATATAGATACAAAATTAGGAAAAATATTTATTCCGTTTCGCTATGTTTTTGTATTAATTTACAAAAAGTAATTGTGCACAATTTAATAAATAGATAGAATGAAGAAAGTATCAAGTCGCAGCATAATTAAATAACACATGCAAGAGTTACCCATCGGAAAAAATTTAGAACAATTTAACAAGATAAGTAGAATGAACATAGTACTAAGTTGTGCTGGCAAAACTAGTGAACAAGTGCAATTTTTCATTCTTCCAATTGCGTATTTTATTTTTGCAAAACATTCTTAAAGTAGGACAAATTATAAATAGTGGGCCTCAAATCAATCTTATTTGTGCAAATCCCCCTATAGGAAGAAAAAAATAGCCCAAACCGAAACAAAGAAACTCCTTGTGATATTCTTTATGTTTGTCGGTACTTCTATCTCTCTAACTATTCATAATTTATACTTATTATAACTCTAATCATTAAACAGAGTTTACTAATACATTAAAAGTATACCCTGACATTTAACCAAGTTCATTTTCAACCTACAACGTTTCCAGGAAGTTGGTAATTTGTTTAGAAAGAGATTCATCCGACTGTTAACAATTTGTTGGCTCAATGAAGCAAAGATTGATTCGGTCGAAATAATTTTCCTCGACTGTTAATTCATTTAACCACTACGTGTTAATCCTTTGCATTCTCTAAATTAAATTTTCTTCTGTGTTTGTTGATACATAAAGAACTTTATTCTTCTTCCTTCTTTTTTTTTTTTATTTGCAACTGAAAATATAGTATTTTGTCAAGGAAAAGAAATAGAAAGAGGAAAGAAAAACAGCCCAGACTTGTCAACCAAGGAAGAGTGCTTTAATGTGTTGGTCATTTGTTCACACTTGAATAGTTAATTAAGTTCAAGGCTTACCTTCCTTAGAGATTCATTCAATATTTCACTCAATTCCTGGAAGCTAGATACTTACAATTAATTCAACGATTGACAGTATCCTTCACCTCTTATCATTTAAAAAGATTAGATATATTACTGTATAAGGTCTTATTTATATTTCTCTTTTATAAAGATTAAGATGTTTGAGTCTGAATATCAATGTGTATTGATGGAAAAACAGATATGATACGTGAATTAATAATATGTTGACATGTGGCATTTGAATGAGATCAATAAGGAAAAACGATGAGGCGCGATTAAAACACCAACGGGATTAATTACAAAAACTACCGTGTCTGACAACTAGAAAAGAAGATATAGGCACAAGATGCATGAAAACTAAAAGAGAAGAAGATTCATTGGCAGTTACAGATATGAAAAGGGAATCAACATAATCCCTGATTATACGCAATTATTTATTTTTACCATAACTGTTACGAATAATTTGAGTAACGAACAATTAATGTAGTTAATGTTAGTAACAGGTAGGAATAAAATAGGGAAAGCAATTACATATTGTATCCTTATTTAAGCGCCCCTTACCTTACTTTGTACGATCATCAAGAAATTCACAAATATATGCTATCAGTCTTTTACTTTTATCTCTCTGCTTGACTGAAGATTCCTACTCCCAATTCTTGGGAGGAACTAATAGTCTTCAATTTCCTTTCCTTCGTTTATTCAATATTTAATCACAATTAGTTTTACTCTTTTGTATTTAAAAGTGAAGTAAATTTGGTTATTAAAAATCCGATTTATTCAAATATTAATTTTGACCATAAAAATTATTTTTTGGTTAAACAAATTGATAGTGTTGCCGGGACGCTAGTAATCTATTCACTTTTCATATTTTGTCTTTAGCAATGAAACATGTCTACTACTAACGAAATTATTTAGGTGAATAATGAGGATCAAGGAAGGCAACAAGGTGGAACTCCACCACAGCATATACCCAAATCCACTTGAAAGGGCTGCTAATCATAACGCTGGACAACAAGTTAATGAGCAAACAAATGAGCAAGACAACTGGAAACAGCTTACTTCTCAGCAAATTGGAGAAGCTTGTGTTCTTTTGCAAGTGGATTGCTGAGTGTTATGCAAGCATCACCACCAGTAAATACAACCGTGGAAAACCCTCGTTTAGGGCTTGAATTCTAGAAATGGGGAAATGCCAAACGATTATGGAGCAGGAGGTTCGGGTACACCAAATAATTCTAATTTACAAAATATGATATTAACCTTGCAGAAACAGCTCAAGGAGAAAAATGAGCGGATGGAACAGATACTAGGAGTACTGCCCCTAATCAAATGAGTGGTTATTGACAAATATTCGCAACAGCCCTGAAAGACAAGTGCAGCACGGTTGCAAATTTCTAAAAAGTTCAAAATTCCCGATATTCCTAAGTATGATGGGATTACTAACCGCGAGACCATGTTACCGCATTTACCACAGGAGTCAAGGGCAACAATTTAACTAAATAGGAAATTGAACCAGTTTTGGTGAAAAAATTCGGCGAAATCTTACAAAAGGAGGTTTAACTTGGTATTCACTCTTACTGGAAAATTATATTGACTCTTTTGCTGAGCTTGCAGATTCATTTATAAAATCACATTCTCGAGCTCGAAAAGTAGAAAAGAGAATGGAAGGTATCTTAAAAGTGAAGCAGAAAAGTACGGAATTGCTCAGGGAATTCGTAGATCGATTCCAAATGTACCAGTCCCAGTACCTTCACAATCAGTGCAAAAGCGTAGCATGAGTACGTAAATCAATGGGTACCCAATAACTATCTAGCCTAACCCCAAAGAAGTAGTGATAAGGGGTCGACTAACACTTACTAGTGGTCTAATAAATCAAATATAATGAAAGTAAACAGGTATGAAGCATGTCAAGTTAAACAATGAGAGCAAATATACGTACATAACACGATCCTCCGCATATAAATAAACATGAGGTCCTCAATACAACACCACATAAAATGTCACATCTCAAGTCAGGAAAACTCATCGATACATCTCCTTATCAAATATTATGCACGACTCTGCCAAGGGGAGAGACCCGATCCCATAAGAGTAATGGCACGATTTCCATCCATGGCGTACTGTGAGATCCCAGCTGAGGCGTTCAGCCCAATCCCATAATCGTGTACATTGTCGAGGGTCGACCGACACGAACCATAGATGCATCTCATAATAATGTCAAGGCGAATGGTCTAATCCCATAGTGATACTGCTGAGGCGTTCATCCCAATCCCATAGCAATGGTTAAGACTTGACGGGTCACTAGCCCCACTCACTAATATATGTGTGAGTTATATAATTCAGGAAACCTTCGAACAATTTCGTACAACACGGGAGAATTTTGTTAAAGGAAGTGTAATCTCTACTGCTAATCAAGTGGCTCGCCAAATATCTAAAATCGCAAGTCCGATAATTTATGCAAGTCTAGTCTCAGGAAAAAATGTCAGTTAAAGCAATTAAACCTACAAAAAATACTCTAATATTACAATTAAAGCATAGCGTGAGTCTAAGTTTACCCGAACCTAATCAGGACGTCTAGCACATGCACGGACACTCGTCACATCATACGTGCGTAGCTCCCACAACATGAAGCACATAGAAAATATAGCACCTACGGGGTAAATTTCCACTCACAAGGTTAGACATGAGACTTACCTTGCTCAGAAATCCGATAACCGGTTCCAACGCCTCTCTAACTTCTCAAACCAATGTAAAACGATCTGAAACTAGTCAAACAACGTACAAACCAACCAAACCATACCTAAAGACTCTTAATTTAACAATTTGTAATAATTCGCAACTCCACTCGAAAAGTCAATCAACCCTCGGGCCCACGCTCCCGAATTCTGAAAATTGTAGAAGATAAATACTATCCATAACACCAAGAACTTAAATACATAATTTATTCCTAATTTCATGTCCAATTTCGTGGCCAAAATTTAAGATTACTTTTTCTATATTTTTCTTCAAAACTCCCATAATTTCTACCAATTTTCATGTTCAAATCAATATTTAATTCATGTCATAATGTGTAAAAATCACTTACCTTATGATAGATGACTAAACGTTCCTCCGAATCGCCCAAGCAAGAGAGAAATGAGCGAAAATCCCGACTTGCCAACTTATACACTGCCTAGGTGACCCTTCATTGCGAACGCGACATCTCCCTGACGTTCGCGAAGCACACCCAGATCCTACTTCCAAAAATTTTTTCACGAACGCGAGACACAGCTCGCGAACGCGATACTTTACCAGGCTGCCCCTTCGTGAACACGACCACGCTTCCGCAAATGTGAATGCCAAGACTCCCAGGCCAGCTTCCCTTTCTTGAATGCGACCGAGCTACCGCAAACACGAAGTACCACAATCCAAACCATCTCGATCGTGATGAATTATAATAGCTATTCTTGTTTATTTAATGTAATTGCTATGTTACAGGTTCATACCTAATCATCGGACTACAAAGATAATCACTGAAGCTCTTGGCCGGTTGTATGATGCACCCTGTGCGACTTGGAGAAGCAAGTTTTTAATCAATTTAAGGTTTAATACAATTCTTATCTATTTAAGCATTACATTAACAATATTTCATCTAACATTACACACTTCATTTGCAGACTAAGTTTTCCTGGGAGGACCTGCATAACAGTGAAATTCTTGCAAATTTTGTGTTCAAATGATGTAAGAGACTATCTAATTCCTTCTGCTCTGCTCGAAAGAAGAGCAAGAAGCCTTCATGGGTTCTACCGCATTTATGGGAGGATCTGCTGAGGCAGTGGACCACCGAAAAATTCAAGAAGAGGAGTGAACAGGGAAAGAAGGCCTGAGCATCTGAGAAGGGTGGCTCCTTGCACTGTGTGGGTGCAAGGAGCATGGGGACTGCGAGGAGACTACTAGTAATTCCTTAAAATATTTACATCTATTTTTATCGAACTATACTTATATATTTTAATTTATTTAACATATTTTATTATATTTGTAGGAAACAAAA